AAGTAGTACATCCAAATTCACCTCAGCCTACTTCCAAACAGTTGACCAAATTTTCTGGGATTGCTACAATTTTCCAATCGGTAAAATTATTCCAAACTGATCTGAGGGATATCAGAGCTACACACTGTTTGTTTTCGTGCTACTTTAAGGCTTTGGAGAGATCGTTTTTACTCACTTTCAGTTCTGGCTGTTCTGTTGCCTCGCTCGATATCTGCACAAATATGGGGTTCAGGAAACCTAGCGACCTCATTCGGGAAAGTTATTCGTAGTTTTTCAAACAGCAACAGAGTATGTCTCGCAGTAATTCACTCTCCATTTCCTTGAGTGGGCCTGGTTTCTAAATAAGCCATTAACTTAGCTCTGTGAACATAAAATCACAAAAGGGAATTCGAAATAGTTCAGGGAGCACTTGGATCAAAGTGGCCGATCCGATCAGCCTGAACGTGAATTGTGTCTACGTAAAAACGGACGTTAACCCTCGCTTACCAGAAATAGTAAAACCCAAAAACAATTCACCTAAAACATAAACTTTTCCATTATGAATAACCAGTCAGCCGTGTAACCCAAAAACTCAAGTAAACACAAAAAGATCAAAAGAAACTACTGAAAAGGATACTGAGAACACTTTGACTGCCTACGATCTGTTTTGCTCTTCTTGGGGCCCATCACGTAGATGCAGTCCCCGAGTTTCCGTCCACCCTAAGTTCTACATGAACCCAAATTTGGCAGATTCTGGGTGACTTATTTTACGGGAAACTTATTCTATTTTGACAAACAGCATAAGTTTTACGGAAACCGGAGACGGCTCCCACTTGTCGTGGGTTATGAAAGTATTTTCAGCAAACTTGTGAGTAGTTTCCTTTATGAAAATAAACCGCGACATCCCATATATCGTGATAAGTTAAACACAGTCAGTTGGAAAATATCATGAACAAGAGATGCAGTGAAGAACCCCGTGAAAAACTAATTGATATGCAAATTAAATTAAGGTTAGTCGGTGTTTTCCAGGAGCACGTATTCCAGATTTAAAGCATCCATGTTTGGACTATGGAACATTCGATAATATTTCTGGGTGTACGTAATTTGAAACTCGTATAAATCTAATGCCTAGCTAAGACATAAAATTGCAAATATCGCAATAATTATCTTCAACGTGTTTTGCAAATTATTTTTATGAAGTCATTCAAAAAACACCTTGAAGTTCCAGTTAAGAGCATCTAGATGGAACCACAGAGTATGGATATAGTAGTCTCATCAGTGACACGCATAATCGATGTCTTGCCGAATCAGTGCTAGCAAGTCTTGGGGAAAATATCAGTTCACTTTTACCATGTTTGCTGTCCACATACCAGCCTCAGTCGAAATACCGGGCCTTAAAACTGGTCGAAATAGTTGCCAGTATCCTAATCCTATAAAACTAGCGTGATTACTAGTTTCACTTCACTTCCCATAAAATCCTATCCTGAGAAATTCACAATGGGGCCCTTGGCCGGGGTCGATCTTTTTCTGAGGTGACAAACTTTCGCAGAACATGCGTGCTTATCATGCTTGGTTCCGCGTAAAAAAAGTTTCTTTATTTGGTTGAACTACCCGTCTTTCCTCAGCACCCATCAAGTTATTACTTTGGTCTATTTAAATGGCTTATAGGTTAATTTAACTCTTTACAGGAAACAGCTGA